GTGTTAATATAAATACCTTAACACCGTGTTGCGTGGGTTTAGTTTTTTGTTCTCCAAGAAAGGGGACAAAAGAAAGATGAGCGAGAAGGAGACTGTCTCTTCCTACTTTTTTATAAAGTTGTTGTATAGCTTCTAGATATACTGCGCTCTCTATGTCTCCTACTGTCCCCCCAACCTCTATCAAACACACCTCCGGCCTCTCCCCCTCCTCCTCCTTCTCCTCCCCCTGCTGCTGCTGCTGCTCCTCCCCCTCCTCCCCCTGCTGCTGCTGCTGCTGCTGCTGCTGCTGCTGCTGCTGTAGGTGTTTGTGGGCGACAGAGATGATCCATTGTTGTATATGTGTGGTGATGTGGGGAACCATCTGTACTGTCTCTCCCAGGTACTGTCCCTGTCTCTCTTTTTTAATAACATCTAAATATATTTTTCCGCTTGTTATATTATGCTCGCCAGACAAACAAACCCCCAAGAAACGCTCATAGTTACCGAGATCTAGGTCTCCTTCGGCCCCGTCCCCCAATACAAAACACTCACCATGCTCGTAAGGAGACATAGTCCCCGCATCTACATTTAAATAAGGATCTATCTTTATTGCGGAGACACGTACACCCAAAGAACGCAGCACAACGCCTGTAGCAGCAACACAAATATAGGTTTTTTTTAGGGGTTTTTTTACGCGTTTGGTTGTTTATTTGTGGGTGTGTATGCGGGTATGGATAGGTTGGTTTTTATGTTGTTTTGTATGTGTGTCGGTGTGTATATTTATATATTTATTTATGTTTATATTTATATATTTATTTATGTTTATATTTATATATTTATATATTTATATATGTATATATGTATATATGTATATGTGTATATGTATATGTAGAGAGAGAAAGGTGTTTGTGGTGGTGTGTTTATGCTGATGTTTTTGTCTCTTCTTTGTCTCCTTTCTCTTTTATTGGGTAAACTGTATTGTATGCTGTCTTTTTTTTTTTTTTTTTTTTTTTTTTTTTTTTTTTTTTT